GTCTTTAGTGCTAACTAACACTGTACCTGAGTACTACAGCTTCACTCATAAAAGTTGTGTTTTAAAGTCAGGGTGCTGCTATTGTGCATGTTAGCTCACTAGATAGGCTCTGCTAAATGGAAAAGAACCTTAATTAGTATCATTGGTAACCACTGTGACTATTTCATGTCAATATGGTGGCTGTGAAAAGGGTCTATTTCTGTGTCTGTATGCTGTGTAGTATGGGCACCATGTCTTTAGATTTCAATTGTCTTGTTTAGTTTAATCTTTAAAGCCTATTTGTTGAACTCGGTTTTCTCCTCAATACGTCAGTTAAAGTAGAGATTGAGATGCTGTGTACTGACCACTATACCTTTGTTCAATTCTAGCTGGGGACTTTTGGTGCATCCCATTTGGCCCATTTATTTCTCAGATTCCTGACATCTCTAAATTGTCAGTTATACTGAATATAGGCAGAAATGCTCTAAATATATATTCTAAATATATATTTTTTAAATTCAAACTTATATTAGTGGTGTCATCATTATTTTGCTTTTAGGACACAGACTTTAAAAAACATCCATCAAATTCATTGTTTATGTTCAAAGATTTATTCAGCACAAGAACAGTGAGCATTAATACATACAGTAACAGGCGAAAAGTTTTTTGCTCCACCATTAAAATTTAATTATATTATAAGTGTGACATTCATGTCAACGTACAGTATATATATTAAATGTATAAATACATATTCATAGAAATATAAAAAATTCAAAACAGTCATTTCATAATCATTATTTTAAGTAAGCCAGGGTCATACACATGAAAAACTGAGAAAAATGGTCGCTTTATTGTAACATTGTAACATTTGCCAAAAACATAATATACAGCCAAGAATACTTTCATTCACTCTTCCACAAATTTTTCATAAAGTGTCCCTGCATTGGTGATAGGAAATGGGGGACCTGGAGAAGCCGATCTTGTAGCGAACAAGGCATGAAGAGGCTCTCTGAAGGTGAGAGATTAGGTATGAGAGAATCACACCATAGTGCTTTTCACTCTATCAAAGATCTGTTGGACTTTCACTGCAGGAACACAGCCTTCCCTCACAATGGTGATGGTCCCTATGAAAAGAGTATGACACACTTGAGTTAGAAAGTGCCAGTTAAAACCCACAAAAAAGCGAGAATGTAGTGGGAATATTTTGGCATTTTACCTTCATCAATCTTCAGGCAGTTGACCACGGTGGAAGCAACAACTTCATTTGAGTCCCCATCACACAGAACCCCTTGGATCTTGTGTCCCAGTCGACTGTGGGAAAAAGAAAACGACAGGAGAGGATGGGTGAATGAATGTGCATGTAGTTGCCACCCAGTACAGTACATTCTGTGAAGAGACACTTACTTGATGACCATGCTGTGGTGGGTGCTGTCTGGCTCTCCACTGGGATTGGCTGAGGTGATAGCAAGGGGTCCAGTGATGTTACAAAGGTGGCCTGTAACTGTGTGGTCAGGCACACGAATCATGATGCTGTCCTTGGTACCAACACGGTCATAAGCTGGTCCTACTCCTACACAAGATAAAGATAACAAGATAAATTGAAAGGTGAGTTGAATATTGATCACTGATGTTTATTATATAAGCTGAAAATCTTTAATCACAGCATTTACAGTGATATTTACCTAGTTTGAACAGCCAGTCTCCTTTGCTGACGATGCAGCTGATACCTCCTGGATACACATTCCTCATAAACTCCCAGAGTAGAGGACTGAAGGGAGGCTTGGTTGCCACCAGCTGCTCCACATTAGAGATGCAAATACAGATGGGTTTCTCTGCTGGTCTGTCCTGGATGAGATCACAGATAACAGGCTGATGAGTTTCACATTAAATACAAAATATTGAAATTTAATTTAATGATCCGTCTCAAATTACACTTCCAGCTTATTTTTCATACTTACTTTGATATTGTAGATTTTCTCTATAGCTTGAGGATTCTTGCAGGATGCAGCCAGGGCATACACAGTGTCTGTAGGAATACCACATACTCCTCCTTCCTCCAGAAGTCCAGCAATCTTTAGGAGACTACTGGTGAGTCGTGAATTAGCCACAGGACAGGGAAGATCTGGAGCAGACTCCCGCTCTGCTGCTTCCTGTGACAGACCACAGAGGGACATTTTAATAAAATGATCAGGATATAGTATGACAGACTGCTACAGAATTAGCAGAGGAATGCAAAAGGAGTTTCTTAATTGGTTACCTTTATCAATGGAGGGCCCATAGGCAGCACTCTCTGTGAGAAGATGCAGTTCACCAGTGATGCCAGAGCTCCATATATGCAAATTGCTGAAAAGACTGCAAGCATGGCCACTGTGAAGAAAAGGTTGTCATAATGTTTCAGTAAGTGGATGGATTTTTTAATAGATGTGACTTTAATTTAAACCCATTTAAAAACCTTAACAATGTGTTCAGAATGAGGCTTTGTCTACTCTGTACTTACTTTCTAGTTCATATGGAAGTCGCTGTAGAGTGGAAAGCAGGAGACAGACCAGAACAACCTCCATGACTGCTGTTAGAAACAGCAAAACCAGGTTCCTATAGGCAGCTGACATAAACAACGGAGAATGAAAACAAGCTCAGAAACAAACAATTTAATTAATTAGTTATTCTTTAAACCAATTGTCTTGTTAACCTTACCAATCAGCATAAGGAAAGCATTTATAACCAGGAGAGCAATGGCTCCTGCTGTAAAACCATAGGCTGCCTCTGTGGAAAACTGGAGCAGGTTACCTAGAAGAAAAAAACTTGGGATCAGAATTTTGTGTAATTCAGTCAGAGCAAGTCTCCATTTAAACATGTTTGTACTGACATACCTGCAAACCTAAACCAGGTCCACGTTGCCCATACTGCTACATATATGGATGAGATGACTGAGCCGAAACGACCACCTCCTGTGACTTGTAGCCGGCTGACATAGGCCTGGATGATGGCCCCAGAGATGAGGACCCAAGGGACAGTCAGATGAAGGAACGCAAGATTTGTACTGGATACCCTTGCATGAAGAGCTGAGAGAGCTGCAACCCCATTTGAAAGGTAGAACAGAGCATCTGAGGCCTGGTCAGTCTGAGGCAGTGCCTCCTCGTCTCCCTCCTTAGCCCTGCAGCATCTCAAACCCTTCTTCAACTGGTCAGTGGAGATGGGCTGAGGTCCTACAGGGATTAGAGACTTCTCTGCTATGGTGTTGATAAGACGTGAGAAGGTTCCATACAGGGAGGCTGCGGTGAACAGGGAGCAAGCTACACCAAAGAAGATGTAGTATCCTTGGAGAGGGATCTGCGGGATTGTTGAGACTGTGAGCAGGACAAACAGCATGTTGTGGACCAGTTCCAGGACATCTGTGTTCAGGCTTCCCACACAGAGCACAAAGCCTGCTATCACAAAGAACCAATCTCCCACCATTGTTTCCCTCGCTGAGAATACTTTAATGTCCTCCACAACCAGAGCAGATACCACAAACTCATCCCAAGCCTTGATCAACCAATATGTGGCATGAAGACCAAACTTAGTGGTGTGGTAGCAATCCTGGCGCAGATGGGCGTAGTAGCTGGAGAACAGCTGGGCAACTGTGATGATTGAGACCCATGCAGCTCCTACAACAAAGGAATTCATGTACCCAAAGCTGTAGAAAGCAAAGATGAAGGGAGCAACAGTGTCACAGAAGAAACCCAAGGCCATGGGCTCTGCGTATTTTGTGTTTTTCTTCTTCTCTTGGCCAATGCTCTGGGCACTTGCTGAGTTGGTGGTCCCCAGCAAAAGAACATTAAAGAGAGGGGTGCCAAAGCCTTTGAGGACTAGACGTTGTGTCAGACCTTTGAGGAGCAATGCAGCTGAACCGTAGATGGCAAAAATCAGAATGAGCAACTCCAGAACTCCAGCGACCACAAGAGCCCAAGAGCTTGCTACCAGACCCACTGCTTCAAAAATTAAGGTTGCTGTGATGGCACCAAAGACAAAAGGCATGATGTAGTTGACTGTGGCAGAGCAGAAGGCTAGGAGAAAGGACAAGAGGATATAGGGGACCAGACCAGCGATCGCTGACTCTTTTATGGACAGGGTCTCTGTGGTGGAATTTGAGGATATGTTGCTTGTCACGTCAGTGGACAGGGACAAATTGGTCATCATCAAATCTGGCAAAGATGCTGTTGTAGGAGTTTCAGCAAAGGCACCAAAGTAGATTCGGGTGGCACCGTAACTGCCCCACAGAGCAGCATAGGCAATGAAAGCAGTGCCACTCAGATGATCGTATTTTCTAAAGGAAAGCAGTCCGGCCACCAGTTGGCAAATACCACCAATCAAGATGAGATGAACACCTATAAAGAAAACATGGAATCCAAATTACAAAGACAAATTATATTACCTTTTATTATATTATTTTAGCAGATTTTCTTTAAGTTTTACCTGCAAGTATGTTCTCCACTCCTACTGGTTCACTGCCAGTGTGTGCCGTACTGAAGTTCTGTAGAAGTACGAGGAATGCACTGATCCCATTGGATAACATGCCCAACACTCCTGGTTCACCATAGAAACTGGCTGGAAACCCATCTGATGTTGCCATAGTGTCTATGTTGTCAAACTGCAGTTTCAAACTGAAACAATGAGACAAATGACACAGACAACATATACATGAATGTATATACATGCACATATGTACATTTTGTAATAAATGCAGAAATCATCTAAAAGACAAATTTAGAATACTGTCTGAATGTTGGTTGTGTTATTGTAAGAATAAATGTTTTATAGTGGAATAAAATGACAAATATCATTGTGTTGCTAAAGTATGAATGTAATCATCCAGGTTATATTCAGAGAGAGAGAGAGAGAGAGGTCACTGTTTGCAGTTGGAAAGCACAGCTTCACTCTCTTAAAACATCAAACAAGTCACAGAGCAAAATGGTCTTAATACCTTATTTGTAAAGCACTGTACAAAATAAATAAATAAAAACAGGGCTAAAAATGAATTATAATTCCTTTAAAGAACATAAATATACCATAAATAGGGTCTGTAAAGATTTGTACAGTAAAATTCAAGCGCTTTCATCGTACCTAAACCACACATTTCAAGACTACTGAAACCTTTATTATTACATCTAAATTATATTACAAATGCAATAGTAAGAAATAACAGTTGCTTTGCTTTTGCTTTGTACTCACAGAAGTGTATATTGCTATTTAGTTTTTCTTATCAGCTCTGATTCTGATCAGATGGATGGAAGATTTCCAGAGGGATCAACACAGTACTTATCTAGCTATGAATGAAGAGTAAACACACCAAGAGTCAACAAAAAGGATTGTTTGATTTGAGAAAAATGGTCTGCATGAGTGATTATGTAGATCAACACAATTCTACTCTCACATGCACCTTTCTGTCTTATCTCCCTAAACATGTGCAGAAACCTGAGAGTCTGTGGCCCTGCCCAGTCGTAAGTGGGCTGACACAAAGACATAGAAGAGTAGCTGTATTCAACTTTCCAGCTCTATAACTAGACAGCAGCTTATTCATGAAAGTGTTTTCATTAGTAAGCATTTTATCCCTAACTAAGAATGCTATTTACTGACATTTACCCAAAAGACAAGCACTGTTTTTGATTTTATCATGTTATACATTTTCATAGTGGTAATTTCGGTAATCTCTGTTAAATAAAAAAAAAAACTTTACATTGTAATATTTTTTGTTCTGCCATTGAGCATCTTTCAACTAACTGTAGATATGTTAGCCCATATGAAAAGTATGTTATCACCATCAATTCATTATGTAGCATTTTTAAAGTTATATCATGTAATAATGTGCTACCAAGTAATAAAGCAAATTAAAATAAAGTCTTACCGGGGAAGATGCTCAGACAGAACTGGAGTTATTCTGAAGCAGGGATGAAAATTTGTCATAAATAAGGCTTTAGGGGGCGTAGGAGGAGTTCAAGAAAATTCCCCCACTACAGTCTGCAACCTGATAGGTGACATCATTGGTCACCTTGGATAATACACTGCCACTCCCACATTTTCTTCTTCTGAGTAAAGTGATGCTGGTTATGACGATGACGGTAATGACCACTATGGAAATTCCTCCTTAAACTGATATGTTTTTGTTATAGCTGTAGCTGTGCTTCCCTGTTCCTCCCAGGCCTCTGTCGGGAGCTACTATATAAGGAAGACATTCTCTCAATCCAAAAAGCATCAGCATCTTCCACAACCTGTTGACTGCAAACCTACCGCATCAAACAGAAAGAGAAGAGAAGAGCAACGAGAGAAACAACTGACTTACACCATGATCTCCACATTACAGGTAAAGATTTCAAGATATTTTTAGGAGGCCTATTTCTGTTAGATGAATGGGGATCTATACACCCCAGACTGTAATAAAGAGCATAAATCTTTTTCATACTTACATAAGTCAAGCAGATTTCTGAGTATGCTTAAAACTGTTTGACTTCATCTAGTACAAAACTCTAAAATTAGTATATAATATACTTTGCACTGTGTAGGTGTTTTTTGTACAGTAGTACACGGTAGAAGAGAATTTAACAGAGCTCTTGTTAAATGTTGAGCAGATTACACACACTGTACCACACCTGTTACAGAACCACCTCATCAGCACAATAGATCTTTCAAAAGAGGCAGGAGTTATATTCATTATAGTGATGCCATTGTCCTAAAAGGCATTTAATTAGATTTGAGTCTGATAAAGAAAAGGCAGAAAATCACTACATGTGTTCACGCTCAGTGGTTTAGTGTCAGTAAAGATATTCTATACTTTTTTGTCCTACAGAAAACCATTAGACCAGTCTGGGCTGTCAGAGGGCTGCATAAGTCTGCAGTGGAAGGTAAACTTAACTTTTCAATTTAGCTCCATCCACTTCTAAACACAAGAAGATTCATAATTTTTATGTGTAAAAAAAATACTTCTCTACTCTTTCCTTCTTTCTTCTCACTTTTTGCTGTTTCCCCTTGCAGTCTTGAAACACCCGGCCCCTGAGGACACAGTCACAGCCAGCTTTGGGAAGTTCATCAGTGAAGTAAAGCCTCAGCACTTGTCTTCTATGGTACTCCACCGCAGCAAAAGAATGGTGTTGGACAGCATCGGAGTTGGTCTGATTGGCAGCACAACAGACGTGTTTGAATTGGCTCTGCAGCACTGCCAGGTGAGGCACAGGGGAAAGAAAAAAAATATGCTCTTAGGTCATATCTGATATGAGGCAATGAGACAGATGAAAGCAATTGCTTGACCTTATACAAACAGTAGTTGTAAGTCTGTGCAATGGCGGTGTGCGGACAGATGAGTGAAAAAAATTACAGGTTATTATATTCAGTTTCTTCATAGAACAGGCAGGTTTTTTCTATCTGGTGACCTTTTTCTCCAAAGTGTTTGACTTACAAAGAAACATATTTCAGCTGTCAACTGAAGAGTGATATGCCAGAATTTTTTTTTAAGTAAAGTGCCCTGTGTTTATCCGTCTCTTTCAGCACATGTATGCTTCTGATGACATCAGCTCTGTGTACGGACGCAGGGGCACAAGACTTTCCCCAACACTAGCAGCTTTCGTCAATGGAGTGGCGGTGAGTATAAATAGGTGGAAAGGATGGGTCACCATTGTCCCCAAAACACCAAACAAATTCAGACTCACTAAACCCATTGCCACAAACAAACTACAGCTATTTTTTACTGTGTCTGGGCGTACAACCACAGGGGAGGGGTGTTCAATGAACTGACTGTGGAAATTTCCAACTTAATGTCTGCAGAATGTCTAAAAAAGCTATCAGGATGTCAAGTTCATTTCTGCAGCCTACATTTGCTTCCAGTGGTTGAAGCCTGTTATGGCAATTAAAGGGGTTTTCTAATTGACAAATGGGATGAGTGAAGAGAGCTAAATTGCACCTAATTATAAAATTAGTTTACAGCTAACTACTGTGTTGTTTCATGAAGCACAGCAACATAACAATCATTTGACTGTTTTTTGTTTGTTTGTTTTTTTTTTGCTGCAGACTCACTCCATGGACTTTGATGATACATGGCACCCAGCAACTCATCCCTCAGGAGCAGTACTTCCTGCTGTGTTAGCACTCAGTGACATGATGCCTCCTAACAGCAAACCTAGCGGCCTAGACTTCCTGTTGGCATTCAACGTTGGCATTGAGATCCAGGGCCGGCTGATGAGGTTCTCTAATGAGGCCCACAACATCCCCAAGAGGTGAGTGCCTAAGAGCACATGTCAAATTAGACGTCATTTATAGAGTAATAGCAACATTGCAGTGCTTTTGCACTTTACTGGGTCTCCCTAAGTGATCACTTAACAAATATAAAGCTAGCCCCTTGCTGAAGAGTTGTGGAGAACAGGTATCCACACAAGCCTAAAATGATCCATATTTGACTCTGCTGATCACTGCAATGTGGTTTACAAAGAGGCCGGTGCAGTGTAATGTGCAGTCTCTTGGTAGTGTCAATGAGCTGTGAAAGGCGTGTTATTATGTTGTCTCTGAGTGGCTCTGTGGTTAGTGCACAATTAGCCATGTGGAGGTAAATATCACAAAGGACTCCATTTACACCAAGGGAAATGACCCACCACTTTATTTGCTTGTTTATAAAGTACTGAAATGACAAAAAAAAATGACTAGTCATTTCAGTATTGGACAGACAGACTGAAAAAAACACCCCTGAAATAATCTGTCTCTGCATGTGGAGAGTCACGTAATAGAGTCACTGTTTGTACAAGGAGACACCTTTACGGTACACACACGAGTTGCTGCTTTAACCATGAAGTCACAAGGTTAAATTGTTCCAAAACACCTGACCAAAGTCTCTCTTTCTCTTTCTGTCTGCCTCATCTCCAGGTTTCACCCTCCCAGTGTGGTGGGGACCATGGGAAGTGCAGCCGCTTGTGCTCGCCTCTTGTCTTTGGATCACTCCCAGTGCAGTCATGCCTTAGCTATAGCTGCTTCTTTATCTGGAGCCCCAATGGCTAATGCTGCCACTCAGTCTAAACCCCTCCACATTGGTAATGCCTCACGTTTGGGTCTGGAGGCTGCTCTGCTGGCCTCCCGAGGCCTAGAAGCGAGTCCTCTAGTCCTGGATGCTGTCGCTGGGGTAGCTGGCTTCAGTGCTTTTTATGAAGACTATGTGCCGCAGCCTATAGAGTCACCCAATGATGATGGCCATATGTTCCTGCTAGAGGAGCAGGACATGGGGTTCAAGCGCTTCCCTGCCCATCTGGGGATGCACTGGGTGGCAGATGCTGCAGCCTCGGTCCATAAGATTCTTGTAGGGTTTGGGCCTGGCACTGTCTACCCAGATCAAGTCCAAGACATCCTGCTCAGAGTCCCCAAATCAAAGTACATCAATAGGCCTTTCCCCGACTCTGAGCATGAGGCACGCCACTCCTTCCAGTTCAATGCTTGCAGCGCTCTTCTGGATGGCGAGGTGACTGTGCAGTCCTTTACCCCAGCTGCCATGATGCGCCCTGACCTGCTCGCTCTGCTAAGCCGTGTTCGCATGGAGCATCCCCAGGACAACCCGGCTAATTTCAACCGCATGTACGGCGAAGTCCAGGTGTCACTTGTAGGGGGAGACACTGTGAAGGGACGC